AATTACAGCCGGGCCTGTACATTTTTAGTCTGAGAATATTCTGATCTACGAGTATTAGATTTACTATTTTGGGCAACTTTGGCATATCTCAAATATAGAAGTGAAATATAACATAAAAAAAGCTTTTCTTTTTCGAGCTTTGAAGTTATTAGGCTCTGCAGTGTAAAACTTGGCATACACTAAGTAGTAAACCTTTCCCTGATAGATGGTGACAGCTCCTCGGTGTCTCCAACCCCCACTTGATGAGGGATTGTGCACTCAATCAACCCTAATGGCTCCACTAAGACAAACCATCCATGGTGTCTGACCACACACACCCAGCCAGGTGCCAAAGCCAATAAGCAAATACTTGGAATAAACACTTCAGATTCCTCTCTGCAGACCCCAACGACCCATGGTATGAATAGTTACATTTAGCTAAATATACAACCCATTACCACAAAAACCATATATTTCCTGTGTAAAATCTATAGCCACAGAATATTTCTCTGTCTTTTCAAGACATCCTGTACTAGAATCCCAGAATAGCTACAGACTAAGGAAAAAAAAAAAAAGGAGATGTTGACCTATTTAATAGGGAATAAGCCAAGACATTGAAAACCACCACATGACCAACATTATCCATAGCAATCCTCATGTCTTATCTAGATACATCAAATGCACGACGCGTTATGTGGAATCTTCAGGGGTGTCTAGAGAAGAAAACTTATTTCTGTGCTGCTTAATGAACCTGCACCAATATTTTTAAAACAGTTTACAAGGGAACTGTTGGGATAAGGGATAAAGGGAAGAAAATTAGAATGGAAAACAGTGTTCATTGCTGTATATTGTCAAGGGGTCTACTCCAAAAATTAACTGAGATGAGAGTGAAATGTGACATGCCAGCGACCACTGCTTACTAAAAAAAGAAAAAAAAAGAAAAAAAGCTATTATTATTTGAAAATAATATTCTGACAATGAATGTTTAGGATTAAGGAAAAGAAAGCTCAGAAGAAAATGGAAGTACAGTAAGAAACACTTGGAAACTACCATGAGAACATTGCATTAGGCTCACTGCAATACAGCTAATCTTACATAACACCAAATTCATTAGCTCAGGAGAACCACTTTAGTAGCCTTCACACCTCTCCACCTTTGCTCTCCATTGTTACCTGAATAAGAAAACCTTCAGAAAATCTGTAGTATAAGCAGGATAAAGGATACACTCAACAATATTGCCTGGTCCAGAGACACGAGGGGAATTAGCCATAATCATCACTGTACTGCACAAAACCACTACCTGATTTAGATTTTCTTTGCAAAATACTAAGAAATTAGTCCAATTAGATACTTATCGACAATCACACAGTCCTGAAGTTCTCCCTTTTCTCATGTGCATTCAGTGCATTCCCCAGAGCTGGCAGCAATTATGTTCACAAGTACCAGTGCTTAGAAACTATTTCTGTAAACTAAGATATAAGTTAGTCCAAGTTCCTGACTGTAAAAGTAACCAGTTTACAGTTTCACACAAGAAACCTTTGTAAGGCACCTGTAAAGCCTGATTCACTGAGGTTTTTATGATGCCAAGTACTTATCACCTCTTTAAGAATTCAAAATCAACAATAACATTCTTGAACATCCTTAACACACATTGACTTTCTATCACAGCAACTCTAAATTCTCCTGTTCAACAAAGTGAAAACTTGAGGATTTATGTCATGACACTGGAGACAAGACTTTAGCCTGCAAAGTGGCACAAATGTACACGGAAAATGGAATATATCAAGACTGAACAAGAAATGTAATTCTAAAGTTAATATTAAAATTAGCAGAAATTAGCTCAAGATAAATAACTGTGATTATTCAGCCTTCCTTCCAGGCAGAAGTTTGGTCCCATCAACGTTAGTACATGACTCTAGGCAATGATCTGCCTTTGTGTAAAGTCAGTAGTGTTTGCCATGGCCACAAACAAAGTTACAGCAAGTCCATGCTCAGAAAAAAAGAGGTTCATAAATCAAAAAGATTCTTTCTGTGTCTCTCATTATCTCAGAAGGCTTTGCATGAGCCAGCATTCCATAGTACTCCTCCTGGTTTCTACTCCAAATTCTGGTGACTTTGCAAGTAAAAAGCCAAGGCCTTATATATGTATGTAAGTATTTTATTGCTTGCTTGTGTGCCTCTCCCCTCAGTCAGGTCAGGTCTCTCAGGGCATGTTAGTACTTGTTATGTTACACAGACCATCATAAAATCAAGTGTTACACATTACATTTTACAATTAAGTAGATTAAGACTATAATCTTGATCTGGAATCTCTTCTGACACTGCAAGTGAAAAAAAAATATGTAACATGATTGCCTGGTTTTAAGAAATAGGTGACTTCTTAGAGTAAAATAAACTCAGGGCTTAAATGTTTTAGGCAAATTAGTAGGACAAAATTGTCTATACACTTCCCCACACCCACCTCCCCGAGTTCTGTAGATGGTCTGAAAACACTTTTCTCAGAAAGGTCAAATATTTCTTTATAGAAACACAATAAACTGACTACAGAATACTAAAAATAATACTCCATTATATAGTTAGTCTGTAAGTGTCAGATCACAGTATTCTGATATGCTATCACCTTTAACTGGAGACCAAATCTCTAGAAATCATTTAAAGAAACAAAGAAAAGGCTCCCAGGTACCTTTACAATCTTTTCATGAGAACCTTCCAGTTCTAAAGGGATGTGAGGATAAAACATTGATCACAATTCCATCAAGGAAACCCTTATCATTCCCTCACAGCTCATGGCTGTCTAAGATATAACTCTGTACATCCCTCTCTCTCCTACCCACAGTTCTTTCAATGGAAAGCAGTGGTTTAAAATACAATGCAATTTTCTTCCTCTGCACTTAAAGCTCCCGAAGGTAGAATACTAGATTACAAGTTTAGTGATACAAAGTCTGGAAGCTCCTTTTAGCCACTTAGAAACAGCTCACAAGTTGCATGAGGTAAAGTTACTCAGTTTTCCTGGTATGCTGAAGAAAAGCACTCTGGAGCTCTGTCACCAGCACCTCCCTGTCTCCTGTACAGTAAAACCACCTGTAATGTCCTCAAATCAGGCTGAGGGTTGTATTTTATGTTACGAAAAAACTCCTGCACATCACACAAGGCATCCAGTTTGGGAATAAATGTTTGCCAATTCCTTCAGTGCAACATGGCTGAGAACCCAAACATGACACTGAGAAATTAAATATTTCAGGAGTAGAATGATATTAAAGTAACTGATAAGTTTCCAAATATTATTTTCAAATGCAGGCTTACAACTACAGCAATAAGCCTAAAATCACCTTTTTATTATTTAGAAAGATGTTTCCTTGAAATCTCTTAAAACGTAGTGGAAATTTTGCTTCAAACAAACTTACATTCACTAACATTTCACAAAAGCATTTATTTTGGGTCACTTGCTGCTACCTTGTTTCAGTGTCTTTATTTTGGTCTTCTTTAATATGTTCCCCAGGAGTATTAGGCCAAATTATGTATCCTTAACCAAGTAAAATGCAAATTAAGATAAAAACTTCAAAACTTGACCCCAAACATTTCCAAATAAGAACAGTCAATGTTAGAAAAGTTTCATCTAAGCCAAGAACAGCTTCTCCTGAAGTATGAATCTGAGATTTCTCCAATTTTTTCCACACCTCATGAGTGTCCCAAGTGATGAAAGTGAAACACAGAAAGTGTCAAGTTATTATGTTCTGAACAAGTTCAGTATTCAAGCAAGTCAGTTGTAAGTATTTAGATAAGAAAAACAAACATCCTGGGAAAATGAAACCTGTAAAATCATCAACTCAGTCATCACCATCCAAAATAATGACAGGCTACAAAAAAACCTGGTAAGTTTTGAACACACACAGAAGTCAAAGCCTCTTTTTTTGTTTTTAATAGGCAGGGCACTGTTAGGACAAAAAAGCACCTTTTTTTTTTTTTTTTAATATGGCACAAGCAAAATTGAACCCTGATGGGCACAGAGCTAGGGTAAAGCCCAGACTTGGGTTAAAGCTGCAGACCCAGGTTTGGCCCCAGGCCCGGGTTCAGCCCCAGACCCCGGTTCAGCCCCAGACCCCGTTAGCCCCAGAACCCGGTTCAAGCCCCAGACACCGGTTCGCCCAGACGCCGGTTCAGCCCCAGACGCCGGGTTCAGCCCCAGGCCCCGGGTTCAGCCCCAGGCCCGTTCGGCCCGCAGGCCCGGTTCGCCCCAGGCCCCGGTTCGGCCCGCAGGCCTCCGGTTCGGCCCCAGGCCCGGATTCGGCCCAGGCCCGGGTTCGGCCCCAGGCCCGGGTTGGCCCAGGCCCCGGTTCGGGCCCCAGGCCCGGGTTTGGGGCCCCAAGGCCCGGTTGGCCCCAAGGCCCCGGTTCGGCCCCAGGCCCGTTCGGCCGCCAGGCCCCGGTTAGCCCCAGGGCCCCGGTTCAGCCCCAGGCCCGGTTCAGCCCCAGGCCGCTCAGGCGCTGTCTCGGCCCCGAGGGTGCAGTGAGCGCGCGCGCGGCAGGGGGCGCATTTGCTCGCGGGAAGCGGCTGGGGTCGCCGAGCGGGCCGGAGCTGCGCGCAGGAGGGCTCGGGATTCCACCGGCATCCACCGGATCCCACCGGATGCCACGGGATCCCACGCTCCCGATCCACTGGGATACAGTCGGGATACGCCGGGATAACAGCGGGAACCACCGCTTCCCGATCCACCGGGATAACAGCGGATACGCCGGGATACAGCGGACCAGTCGTCCCGATCCACTGGGAATAAAGCGGGAACCACCGCTACCCGATCCACTGGGATAAAGCGGGAACACCGCTCCCGATCCACCGGGATCACCGGCATCCACCGTTTCCCGATCCAAACGGGATCACCGGCATCCCATCGCTCCGCGGACCCCCGCTTTCTCCCCCGCCCCGACCTCCACCCCCGACCCCCGGGACCGGCCGCACGCGGGGCACGAGGCCGAGCGGGCCCCGCGGGCACCGCTCCGCCCACCCCCACCCCAAATACTCACCATATTGACTTCCGAGACCATATCTATACTGGCAATGTCTATGTTCATGCCCACAGCCACTGGGGGACCTGCAAACCGACAAGATGGTCCGCAATGTGATCTCTATGAACTTAACTCATTCTTACCAGAGTTCGCTGGCGAAGGCAGCGTACACATGAAACGTCGTTTAAGCATAACCAGAAACTCAGGAGGAAGGCAAGAAGTGCTCCCCACTCCTTCCCGCCCCCCGGCGAGCCGCTGGTCCCGCGGGACGCGAGCCGTGCCCGGGCTACCGGGCTCACCCCCCGTGGGACCGAGCCGTGCCACCGAGCCTGCCCGAGCCGTGCCCGGGCTCACCGGGCTCACCCCGCGCCCCACAGCCCGGCCGTGCTTTATGTAACCGGCACACACGTGCTGGCACCGGGGCCCCGCTCCGCTCCCTCCCCGGCCGCCGCCCGCCCGACACCCCCAGCCACCGAGCCCCGAGGGACGGATGGGGGGGACAAGGGATCACCCCCAGCGAACACGTCCGAAATAAACAAACTAGTTCGAAGCAGGAGCACGCAGGGGGTTAAATGGCATTTTTGTATCAGTTAACAGCACATCTTGTACTCAAAAATAGTACCTGTGATCACAGGCATATTGTGCTGAAAGGAACAAAGGTTGGGTAAACTTAAGAGAGATTTGCATCTCGATAAAACCAGTTAAACGAGGGTTTAATTACAGGTTAATAAAGTATCAGCACACACAAAAAATGAGGGACCGATTACGAATATGCAAGCGATTTAAGTGATCGCATTAAGAGCATCCTGTGCTAAGAAAATTAACAATGGGCTTAACTTTGGGATCAGCTTGAGAAAATGGCAACACCCTCCCCCCCAAAGCAACAGCATCCACAACACGTTTGAACCCCCCCCCACCAAAGGTACACAGCCCGGATATGCAACCTCTCTTATTCAAAAGCAGTCAAATTACCTCCAAAATCTGGCCTCAAGCGAATATCATAGCCCTTCAGCAGTCTATCCACGGTCTCTTTTACCAGTGACATATTACTAGGGTCATTGACACTAAAGGAAAAAAAAGAACAATACCATATTATTCCTGATTTCTCAGCCCCCAGCTGTACATTCCTCTCAGCAGCAGCATGCACTGCAATTCAAAGTAAAGGAAAAGAGATACCTTCATCGCTTACCTCTGTGCACACACCGCGGCTATTATTAAAGGGAATGACCAAATCCCAAAGTAACCCTTTCTCCGGACTCTCAGCATCCCTTTAGCTTTTGATATGATTTAGGGTTTCAGTGAAGAGAAGAAGAGATCCAACTTATTCTGGCCAGTGCAGTAATTCTAATGTGAAGCGCATGCGCACGGCGTACCACAACATCAAAAGGAGCAGTGGTTGCTGCTGGAGATGGAGCAAATTTCCTTGCCAGAAAAAAAAATTAAAGGGGAAGAAGGAAATGCATTATTTAAAAAAAAAAAAAAAAACAACCAAACAAAACTCATCCACAGGAGGATCCAGTATATTTTTGTTGTCCTTTTTGTTAGTATAGAATATAAATCACAGCAAGAAGAGAAGTTTCAGGAGTTGCAGGGTACGGCGGCTTTGCAACCTAGTTCAGGGGAGGTGGGGGCTGGACGGACTCGGCTTAGGCAGAGGGAGAATAGGTTAAAAAGGGGAATGCACAGCGTACGTATGGGGGCAGGTGCGGGAGAGAGGGGGCAGCTTAACTTTTTGGTCCCTGGAAAGAACCTCCTGAAGCGAGGAGAGGTGCGGGTGAAGGAGCCGGTGCTGCAACGGGGGCGCGGCGGGGGGAGGAGGGGAGATGGGCGCCTACAGTATTTCTCACGGAGAAAAAAAAATGATGACGAATAGTTTCTTGTAAGAGAGGATTAGGCTGTTTCTTCCGTTCCTGCGATGCCAGGCGCTATTCCAGGAGCAGAGGCGCTGGGGACCGAGGGGGTCATTGGCTGGTGCCCGAGGGGCGGGCGCGGAGCCCCCCGGCCCCGCTCCCCCGGAGCCTTTGCCACATCCCGACCGATATTTAACCCGGGGATGCAAGTTCTTCAGGGAGAGCGAGACCTGGCCACGGAGCTGGGGGAGGGAGGGGAGCCGAGGGGAAGAAAAACACCACCCTGCAAGGCTTTCAGTGACCATTCAGACCCGGTGTAGGTGCATAAGCCCACTTACCTTACCGGGTAAAACACCCAAGCTCTTCAAATGCAGCGTGTGATCCAGTTAATGCCTCGGAAGAAACAGGCGACGAGCGAGAAGCTGATCTGGGGATGCTTTGAGTGACATTTAAATCCTGAGCACAAAAAAAGATTGAAAGGAGAAGGAGAAGGGAAAAACCAGACTCCCGAAAAACAACAAACAGAGGAGCTAAATTATTCTTCGCAAATGTGCTTTGTGCTCGTCGGTCTTCACACCACCTCCTCCTCCTCACGCACACAGCCCCGGCCCCGCGGTCTGTGCTGCTCCACAGAGCCCAGCTGGGCGGGCACCGGCTGCGGCCGGCCCGGGTGCGCGGGCAAGGGATTGGGAACACTTGGGGCGGCAATTAACAAAAGAAACATTTAACTCGCTGCAGGAGGGTGGAGGAGAGGGAAAAAAAAGAAGAACAAAAAAAAAAAAAAAAAGGAAGGAGAGAACAAGAGAAAACGGCGGGCTGGTGTGGGGAGGGCCAAGGTGAGGGTGTTGCCAGCGGGCGAGTGGCTGGTGAAGCCCGGCAGGGCTCGGTTGCCGAGCGCGGGCTGAGGCCGCTCCGAGAGCTCCCTGCCGCTGCCGCTGCCCTGCCCCTCCGCCCCCCCGGAGAGCGCGGGGCGCCCCTGAGCGCGGGGGGTGCCGGCCCGGGCCGCGGCCCGGCCCAGCCCGCACCCCGCGCACCCGCCGGCTGAGGGAGCGCCGGGGGCCCAGTGGCCGGGGGTCTGCGCGGGCCGGACGGGGGCGGCGGCTCCCGGGGAAGGGCTGAGGGAGGCGGGGGGGCTGACGCCTCACCTGGGGGGCGGAGAAGGGGGAGCGCTTGGCCCCCGGTAGACGGCGGAGGCCCGCTAAAGAGCGAACAGGGAGAGCCTGGCGCAGCGGCAGCCCGCGGGTGACAGCCATTGAAACACGGCCCGGCGGAGGCCGCGGCTGGAGCGCTCGGCAGCGGGGAGCCCCTCAGCCCCCTGCCCCCGGAGCTGCCCCGTGCAGCCCTCTCTGCCCCCGGAGCTGCCCGCTCAGCCCTCTTGCCCCCGGAGCCTGCCCCCTCAGCCCTCTCTGCCCCCAGGAGCTGCCCCTCAGCCCTCTCTGCCCCCGGAGCTGCCCCTCACGGCCTCTCTGCGCCCCGAGCTGCCCCTCAGCCCTGCTCTGGCCCGGAGCTGCCCTCAAGCCCCCCTGCCCCCCGGAGCTGCCCCTGTGCCCCGGCAGCGCTCGCCCCGCCCCGCTGTGCCTTCGAGCTCCAGGGAGCGCCTGCTTGGGCTTTTCTTACAGCACCGAGCACCCAAACACATCTTCTGGGGGGCTGGGGGCAATTCCTCAGACGTATTTGTACCGCCTTCTCCTGTTTGTCACAATTGGAATTACACAAAGTGAGAAAATACACTTTTACCAGCTGAAATTGCCAAGCGTGTATGTGTGATAAATGTGTCCCATTCGTGTATTGACAAGAAAAAAACCCAAACACGTTAAAGAAACGTTTAAGGATTTTTAAAACAGCAACCCCCCAAGCCCCACCTCGTGTTCCAGCTCTGCTCGCGGCCGATGCTCCAGAGCCGCTCTCCTGCTCGCCAGCGGAGGTTTCTGTTCTCACACGGCCAGGCTGCCTCACCGCCAAACCTCTTGAAATTTAGCCCTGAAAGGAAGATGGTGGATACGCTGTGCAATGAATCATTTTACTTTAGATCTATAATAGGCACTTTTTTTCTCCTGCAATCATATGATAAGAGCAGGAGGTCTCAAGATAAAACACTGATCCTGCCCTGTGAAATTCACCTGCAAATGCTAACTTGGGACTACAGTTGACACTCCTGATTTCTGAGCCGTTTCCGAGCCTCTGCTATTAATTGCCATTACAGCACAGAAATGTGTCATTCACCACGCCTGATTATGAACGAGATACCAACATGAACCTGCTGCTGAAGGCTGGTAATATTCAGTGCTGCACTGACAGGAAGTTTTGATTTACATATCAACTCAAACTCAGGGGCAGAAAAGTAACACATTTTCACTGAATGTCAGAATAGTACACAAAAAGAATGCAAGCTATGCCAAAATATCTGGCATTTGTTCTTTGCACTGGTATATGCAGGGAACACTTGTTCTGGGCCCAGAGCACCACTGTGCCATGTGTAGTGAAACCTACTCTCAGTCTGGCTCTTCCAGAAAAAAGGAACTGAACATATCTCCAATGAATTCAATACATGTGGATATTACTGTGTATTGTTGTGGAAAATTAAAGTATATCCTTGGGTTTGGGAAGGGTAAAGGCACTACTGAACCATGTTTGGGATGATCTGCATAACTCAATATGGCTGTAAATGCACCACTGTCTAAAGGGGTCTATTAGCACCACTGCAGGCTCTGTGTGCCCAGACCAGCCTGTGACACAACATCATTATGTACTGACAGAATACAGTGTCATACAATACTTTGCCTTTTGCAAAGGTTCTCATACTTTGCTATGCACTTTGACATTACTACTCTTTCTCTGACCACAGGGTTCTGATCTGTCTCTGCCATTTAAAATTGCTTATTGCCTTCAAAATCTCTCATTTATTTTAAGCAACTTGTCAAAGAAATCATTCCCCTCTTTTTCTCACTTGTGTCTGTGTGTTTGATTGAAAACTAGAGGAAGTAACTGGTGTGAACACCAGTATTGGCAAGGTGCAGAGCCGTTCATGTGACGTGTTTAGGGATTGCTGAGACTTTGGGTGTCTTACAATGGGCAAATAACCTGTTTCCCAGCTGGATATGGTACTTGTAGCTCTAAAAATATCTCAATTAGACTACAAGTACTGTAATCTCACAGAGAAGCCAGCAAAGATGGTCATATTTTAAACAGCAATTGTAGATTATTTTGATTCTTAGCTTTCAAGATTGAGGAGTGCAAAAAACCAGCCCCCGAGCTGAAATCCTCTATACTTGCCCTTGCTGGGCAGTGTGTGACACTGAGAAAGAAATGGGCTGGAAAGGAACATCGTACTTCACTCGTCAGCCCTTGACTGTGGCAGTATTTTCCTGTCACAAGTAATATCCCAGGCCACATACTAAGAATTCCAGAGGATTTTCAAATGGCTTTCTGTAAATGTATAGACTATGCAAAAATAAGCTTTCAGGTAGAGTAAGAATTTCAAGATAGATTCTCAAGTGATCCAGTCACTCCAGTCAGTAGAGACAGAAGAGATGCTGATTGATGGCAGCCCAAGAACAGTAGCCCTGTATCACAAGTAATGTAACTAACAAGTGCAAAATCCCACATAAAAAAAGATTCTTTTCACTGCACCTGAACAGGCTGGTATGAATACAGTTCTATGGAAGTGATGTTTCCAGAGCTTTTGAGCATTTGGATGAGATGCAGTAGTACAGAAACACTCAGGTGAAAGTTGATTCCAGGTATCAAATAAGACATAATTCTCTAATTTACAGAAGAATGTTAATAATAAAATATTTTGATACATGATTTCAATTTCTAACTCCTGTAAAGTCATAAATTCACGTAAAAGAAAACAAAATATAGTCAACCCTTGTAGAAATTTTCTGAACAAGGTTTCAATATACCTTATCTTGTTTCACTTGTCATTTTAGGTCTTCAGATCTAGGGTGTCCCAGTCCATGCATCACACAGCATCCCATTAGCAATCAGTCTGTCAGCATAAAGATCCCTGTTACATCACATACACAGAAAAATTATTCATGCAGGTGTGCCTTGATGCTGCTTTTCATGGGCAGTGGAATTCACTTTTGCATAGTGACAATCTTCTGGGATTTACAGGTTGACATCAACTTCAGCTTCCATGTATCTGAGAGAATCCAAATTGGCAAATTTATTGACAAAAGCAATAGGGGATGACCTGCCAGTTATACTGCTCTTGGCCCTTAAAAAACTATGAAATTATTAGTATTGTGCAGAAACTGAGTTTGATAAGTTGCTTAGGAATCAAGTACCAGTTGGTACAAGCATGAGCTTCACTTAATTGTAAGAGAAGAGCAAATGGGAGGGGCAATTAATAATCACTTACTGGTTTGCATAATTATATAGGATTTGATTTGCTGGAGCTCCTGTTTCTGTCCCTCACTGTGTGCAGCTCCACAGGGTTCCAGGCACTGTACGGGAGAACTTCCCAGTTCATGACCGAGGCTGTGCTTTAGGAGTCAAAGACCTGCTATATCTTTTAACAGAAATCTTTTGCGTAGTTTGAGATCAGCAGATCTTAGATGTATATTGAAGAAAGTCTTTTAATGTGAAGTTGAATTACAGGTTAAAAAAAAAAAAGGTTGTGTGAGGCATTCCCAAGTGCTTTGATTGCAGCCAATTGTCAGTAACTCAGTGGGGAAACACAGAACGCCTGGCACCTGGATTGAGATCTACAGTCCTCTTAGCACATCAGGAAAGCTCCACAAAAAGCCCTGTTTCCTTCAAAGTGGTAGAATAAATTAGTTTCAGAGCTATATAGACAGCAATTTTTTAATTCCTCAGTTTTAGCTACGTGGGCACTTAGATAGCTGGAAATACCTGCAGTGTACACACCCTTTGACAGGAAGGCAGGGCACAGTGAGGGGTTGCATAGGGTAAGGATACTAAAACACTTAAAAGACAGCAAAAAATGTCCACCAAGATTATGTCACTCTGTGTCTAAATCTCCTCCATGCTGTTTGTGTAAGATTCAGCCCTGAAAGAGACTGCAGAAACCTGTTATTAAATTAATGGAGTGGCATTTGTCTGCATCAGCTGATTGCAGGATTTGATCTTCCTTTCTAAGCTCTCTTGGACAGAGAGTTAGTTTCCTAAATTTTTTATGCTGGGTAATACATTCCAAAATAGTGCTGTAAAAAATATCTGAGGGTTCTAAAACTGTTAGGTTAGAAGCTTTTGATAAAAACAATATTGTCTTTCTAAAGCCATGTAGCTTCAAACATCAGTCCTGGGACTGGTATAACTGCCTGCAAGTTTTAAGATGAAAATGGAAATCTACCTAGTTTGAGCTGGATTTTTCTTTAGCTGGAAGGACTTCACTTCTTCAGAGAACTCTTCCTCCTCATTACCACCACTTTGAACAGGTGAGGGGACAACAGGGGGGCAATTCAATAGAAAGAAACTAAGAAGTACTATCAGTGGATATAAGCAATACTCAAACTGCTCTCCAGGCAGAGGTTTTCAGCAAGAGCTGGAGCACACATGTCTGTATCTCACTGTAAAACAGATTCCAATTGTCCTTTTGTTGGTGTTCTAGAATACAAGATGAAACTTTTACTTCAAGCCTTCTTCCAGCCTAGAGAAAACACAGTGCTCTTCATTGTCTTTCACCTTCTTTCATGCCCATCCCAGAAGTGCTTGTGTCAATAATCCTGTTCTTTACTTGCTGTTCTAAAACCTCAACTAGTCCTGGTGAGGAGATGTTCCCCAGTGCTGCAGTAAGAAGAAATACATGTTTTGTAGCACATTTTGCCCCTGACTGATCCTTTGGTCTGCAGGCCAAATGTTTAATGGAATTGATCCTTGTTTTACATGTGATCTGCCTCTGTTTACAGTGCTAGAAGGTAGAAATCTCACTGACAGCTGTTTCTGTTCAGCAGCAATTACCAATTCTGAATGGAGCAGTTTTGCTGAGTTGAGAATGTTTTCAAAGAGCTGCATCACCCTCCACAGAAAGAGGAAAACCACTCAAACCAACAACAAAACTAGCTGTGGAATAATCCCTCTCAAGAAACTATATACAGGACACAAACTTGTAATACTGTCAGTATTTACCATTGCATCCAAGGATCTCTCTCAAATACTTCAGTGTTGCTGTGGATCTTTCATCCAACTATGACCTGGAAGAGACTCACTGGTGCAAAGCAGTCAGTTTGTGCAGTATTGCTGTGCCAGGTTCCCAGGTGAGGTGGGTGAAGCACATCCTGGCTGAGCACCCAGGTCCTGCTGAAATTAATGGCAAAATCCACATTCAGCTCAGGAACAGCAACTCCAAGGCCCATCATACAAAGCACTAAATGTTAGAAAACTGGAAGAGGCCCAAGAGTCATGATTATTCAATAACTTCTTAGCAATATGGTCTCTACCATATTTCCAGGGAGATGAAAAAGAAATACTTTGGAATTTTTGTCTAATGATGGAAATAAAAACATTCTCACATTCTTACATTTTTTGAAGCTACAGCTTTCAAAATAGAGGATGTGTCTTATCGTGGAGGTCAGAGACTGTTACAGGTGCGTTCCATCCTCAAGCAGTGGTCGGGGAGCTCAGAGAGGGTTTGAAGCCATTCTGAATTTGTTCTGAGTGACCTTCTCCCTAATGCCTGGGGACAAACCATGTCTGTTCCCCACAGGCCAGCATAAGGTCACTGTAACAACTACTACTGATCACTTTTCCAGACATGGACATTTCAGTGAAATCTTAAGCAAGGCAATAAAATTGTCTTCAGAGCCACTTTGAAGAGCTGCTTTGAGTTTGACCAGCATCTTCCCAGCATTAGTCCCTATTCTGACATCTTACACTTAGTCAAAAATACAGTTGACACTGTCACAACTTATTTTTGAGGCTATGGGTAAGAGTTTTCTTTTCAGGACAAGGCTGATGGATGTTGCTGTCATTCATTCATTCATTTGCAATTTTTTTCTTTTCTGAACCAGCACTTTTCTGATGCTGCTGTATGAACCCATATCCCACAGGGGAACATGCCATATGCACAGGAGATTTGTCCATTACTGCCACGTATAATTATGCAAGAATGACCTCTTTTTTCCTTAAGGTTATTACAATGTAAAAGTTTATGATGATCTAATTTATACTGCCTCTACAATCAACATGGTTCTTTCACCATTTCTACACTTCAGAGTGGGTTTTAAGGAAAAAAGCCCAAACAACTACCTTCCATTTCCTTCTTCTACTTCCTCACTTTCAGACATTCTCACAATAAATTTACTTGCCACAACAAACTTCTCTTTTGCATGGAATGAAAGCGCTCATGTGTCATTCTTTGAATCTCCTCACTAGTAACCCTGTCTTTCTTTTAAGAGAAGGATTTTCAAATTCTCATTCCTACAGCCAGTAACTGAGCAGATAAATGGTGAACAGTATAATAAATCCTTTTGAAATAGATGCATTAGTACAAGAAATAAAAAACAACATCTGCAAACAGGAGAAGATTTAAGGTAAGCTTCACAGGGTTTAGGGAAAAGTTTACACTTCTGAAACATGACAAGATAAATATTTTCAGCCAATAACAAAAGACACAAATATATAAACAGAAATCAGGGTCTGTGTAAACATTTGGGAACACAGAGTGTGTTTTTATGGTATATACGAAGTTAGAGGGGCAGGTGCCCTGAATCCTGAAAAGAAACACTGGAATTTCAAGTCCAAGGTTGTTTATGAATGTGACCTGCAGCCCTTCTTTGCATCACCTCGATGGCAGTGACTCTCTTAATGCCCTCGTGTGTCCAGTCCAGCAGCAAAGGTGTGGAAGGTCCCAGCAGGTGAAGTTGTCTTTTCCCAGCACACTGAGTTTGTGGCTCAGTGTGACACGAGAAGGGCATCGTGTCCCTCCCCACCCCAACATTGCTGCCTTTCTTTCCTTCACTAGATGGGCACTGGGACATTGGATTTCTGTTCCTGGGCACCTGAGAGATAACTCTTAGAATAAGATGGTCTTTTGGGGCCAATTTATCTGTGGGTCCTATGTCAGAGTCTAGACAGGCCCACACTGCACGACAGCGTGACCCGGGGGGAGAACAGCCACACAGCTGAGTGCTTGCTGGTCTTTGCAGAGATTAGAACAATCTTTAACAAAGTGTGTTAGGACAACTATCAAACCAAGTATAAATGAGCTGTATGTCACATCACAACAGAAATTAGAAAGACAAGAGAAAAGGCTATTCCTGACTTTGTCTTAAGTAATTTTCTGAAATCGTTCCTGTAAATATGATTGACCTGGTAAAGGAAAAAGCCCTTAATATAATTAAATTTGACATGTTTTGTAAGATCAAACTAAGCAGTAGTTTGCAATATTGAAATTCAGGAGCCAGATTCTGTTCAAATGAGTGGGCTATAACAGTTTGAAAGACAATGAAGTAAAAGGAACAGAGAACTAAAATCCATAGGAAGCAGCCTGGAAACCATGCTGTTAGACAGTCAGGGGAGAGCTCTGAAAACTCCTCTTTATCAAACGGTCAAAATGCAGTGGACAGAGCAGGTACTGAAGGGGTTTAAATGTAAAGTTTGTAGGCCTTCAAGCCACTTTTTCTGAATGGAACTCAAATTATGGCAGCAAGTAAAATTCTAAAGCATGGCTGCCTAAGAGGCTACAATTCCAATATGACTGCCAAAAATAAGAACAAAATATAGTACAAAACAAACTTTGGAAGCTTAGCAGAATGCATGTGGGATGTCAGTACCCCCAGAGACCTTTCAGTGAGACAATCGTTTCTACTTAGCTCTTCAGACACAGTGAATACAAGGAACTCAGAGCAGTGAAGTAGAACAGCTTTTGAGGCATTCCCGAAGATACAGGTATCAAAAAGTCTGAGCAGCAGATATATTAAGAAGACTGAAGGAGTGCATTGCCTCTGAATTTGTACCTTTCAAAAACACATCAACTCTCCTGTATCCTTGGTGGGGCTTCCTGTGGAACTATGCTCAGCCCAGGTGTCAGGAGCTCAGCCCCAGCAGCACGAGCTCAGCAGGCACTGACGAGTCAGGCTGAGCCCAGAGAGCCCTGCAGGCCTTGCCAGGCTCAGCCCTGGCTGCTGGGGCTCAGCCCTGGCATCTGCAGCTCCCCCCAGCCTAAAGGGTTCCCTTCCTCTTGTCCCTGCACTGCAGAGCCCCCCAAAAGCTGCATTTTGCCCCTATGTGCAGGTGTCAATGTGCTGGAACACCAGCCAGCGTTGGGGGTGACCAGATACACAGATCCTGTGCTGGGTCATCTCCTAATTACACCTCTCTGTATGTATATACACAGAAAATATACCTGTGTCATCTCCTCTGGCTTTTTCCTTGCTTTGCTTCAGCTGAAAGTTGTATGTTATGCACAAAACAACTGAATCATGAATAACAAAGGCATGTTATTTAATTCCTTTAGTGGAGACCAGCAATTACTGTATACTGACTGTTCAAGGCTGTTATTTTTGTAAACAAGAAAGAAACTAAATGAGCATAGAATTTATCATTAGGAAATGGTCTCGTGTTCAATTAATACACATTCAAGAGAGCCCCATGTGCATGTGCTCCAGTCAGTGAAGTGCTGCAGGAAAATAGGAAGAGCTCTCCCAGGGTGCAGCACACCCTGCTTTCCCTGCCATATGCCTTCTAAATATGTTCCTCTGTGTCACTGCACTCACAAACCAACTTGCTGATTCCTGGCAAATTGATTCTGATACACTCAAAACATACAATTCCTAAAGAATAGGTTTGCTCATTAAAAAGAGAAACAAACCTCCAAACCAAACAAACAAAGAGAACCACCCTTATAAAAGTAATAAGTAAATTCTGGCAGCAGATATATATACACTTTCAAAATCTGGAATAATTTCATCTTTCCAAACTATGGCCTTGATAAAGTACTGACATACAAAGCTCAAAAAACTCTATGGGGTATGAAACAGTAGCATTGATTTGGTTGAGGTAGTACAGACAAGAGTTATTATAAAATGTAAAGAAAGCATGACATAAATTCAGGGAAACCATAAACTGTTTTGAGGTTAGCCTAAATGGGGATTTAAAAAAAAAAGTGAATTTTCAAGAGAAAACTGTAATATATCACCTTTTCTTTTTTTTTTCCCTTATTTTTTTTGGGGGGGTAAGGCTAGAAGAAGCTTAAGGAGTTCAAATAATTAATAACCTGCTGGTAAATCACAGATTTTAAATAATATGCTAAAATTTATATTTATGGTGTTATTTTTTAACACTGTGCCATGAAGTTTTACAACAAATGGGATAGGAAGCTTTGCTCCTAAAAAGAGACTTGTAAAGGCCCTCTAAATAGTCACAGAACAAGGAACCACTGATAAAGAGGAGATGGGGATATAAAGGATAGAGAAAGAAGAATTAAGTGATTTATATAAAATTCAAAGCACATTAACACATTTTAAGGGGGGAAGAATGTTATAAGAAATAGTAAAGATGAACAGAGGTGAAGTAAGGTTGGATGAAGGCAAAACAGTAATAAATTAGCATCTACAGGTGATAACTAGGATTAGAAATTCAGGAGTTGAAACATTAGCAATTACTATTAGAAACTCTTTCCTAACTGAAGAGGTATCAGTTGATTGGAAACCAGTGATTTGTTTCAGCTTTCTTAAAATTATTTAAAATAGCTACACATCTGCAAGTTCTGCAGATCTTTACTGTGGGCTTTAGAAACCCAATTTTCAGCTTATGTGTTGTTTATTTGCTTCCTAGAGCTAAAATGAGTCAGAACCCTTTTCCCAGCAAGTGGGGAACCTGAATTTCCAGCTCCCCAGCCCCTGGATCCTGAGAGCTGCCTGGGTTTGGAGAAGTTAAAGTGTCCTGGGGCTTGGCTTTGCCCAGCCATGACCCCCAGAATCATTTGTTTTGTTTTATCCGAACTTTTGCAGTCACATTCTCATTCCTAACTGTCCTGGAAGGTGCCCTTGGAACCAGTTCTGTGAACTGGCAAATGTCATTGTGTCCAGTGGGCAGAAAGAAAGGGAAAATAAGAAAGGGTGTGTACAAATGTTTGCTGTTATTTAAGAAGCAGGCTTGGAATAGACACACTCCTATGACTGCACATTATGTGATGTAATAAACATTTCTTTTACAACATGAATCAATTAATTTTTAATACAGAACCCTTTTACAAATGGCTGTTTCAAAATATGAGCAGAAAAGTCCATCTGCAAATCAGATGGATAAATGAGGGAAGTGGTGAACATTCGTGGGGAGGATGTGATTGATTTCCACTG